TCTAGGGCAGGGTCCTGGGAGCCACAACATGTCAGCCCTGCCCACCCTGTGTACAGATGGGGAAACTGAGGCTCAGAGAGGGGCAGGACCATACATGTAGGTGACAGAGCTGGGGCTAGAACCCATGTCCCCTTACTCTCAGCCAGGCATCTGCCCCTGAAGTTTGTCCCAGGGGCTGTGAAGTGCCCCTGGTGTGGAGAGAGGACTAGGCTGCCAGTCAGGAGACTGGAGTCTGTGTCCCACGTCTGCCAGCAACTTAGCAAGTCACCTCCTCTGAGTCTCAGTCTCCCATCCCTGCCTGGCCAGGACAGTGCAGGAAAATGACTTGGATATAAAGGTCTATGTATGGCAGGGCAGGGGGGTGTCCTGTGGGGACGGAGAGGGCAGCAGCTGTAGTCTGAACCCTGGGGCTTTGAGCCACTAGCCTCACATTTGGGCTGGAGGCAAGGGCTGCCCCATCAGGTGAGCTTCAGTGCCCCATTGGCCACCTGAGCCCCACTTGCCCAGGTCAAAACACTGGAACCTGCCCTGCCCTTCTCTAAGCCTCAGTTTCCCCACCTGCACAATGGGGCACACGAAGGGGTTGAATCAGATGGACGATCCCTGGGGGCCGTGGAGCTTGGACATTCCAAGACTCTAACCCCGCGACCCCAAGGCCAGGCCTCCTCCTCCCTCTGGCATCTTGTTTATGCAGAGCATCCTTGGCCCGAGACTGCCTGCCTGGAGCACCCCCTCCTCCCCGCAGCAAGGCTTCCTCCCATCCCCGTCTCGCTGCTATTTCTGCCCAACCTGTTCCCCGCCCCTAGAATGAGTGTCCCTCTGTCCACTCAGGTGCCCACAGCCCCTCCACATCCAAAACTAGCTCAGTGGCAGCTCTCAATCCTGCTCTCCCGCCTCATTCTCATCTCAGAGAACGGCGTCGTGCCCCTGGCACACACACACTCCCGCCCCCCCGATTCCGAGCCGGAAATAGGGGTGGGGGCTCATTTATGATACCTCTCTCTCCAGTCCCGCAACATCTAATCACCAAGTCCTGTCGATTGTCAGCTAGATAAATCTCAGTCCCATCTGTTTCTATCAGTCCCCACTGCCCTCTCCCCAGCCCACACCCAGCAAGCAGAGAAGTGGCAGCCCAGGGTGGCCTAGAGCTCTCGCCTCAGATTAATCTCTGCTCTGCCTTCCTAGGCAAGTTCCTTAAGCACTCTCTGCCTCAGTTTCCCCATCTAAAACGAGAATGATCCTTGTATCTACCTTCAAGAGTTGGCTGAGGAGCAAGTGAGTGGATACACGTCAGGTGCTCAGAACCGCACCTGGGGCAGTAAATGTACAAGCACGGTAGCATTGTGAATTATCTGTGCACGCACGTGAGTGAATGTGTGTTCAGGTCATGTGGGGTCCATGTGCACAGGCTCTGTGCGTGTTGTATGTGCACAGCTTTGCTTGTGCTGGCTACACATGTGATTTGCGGCACATGTGTGCACCTCACATGGGCACATGGGAGAGCATGCAGGCAGCAGTCTGTGCTGTGGGCATGTGTGCCAGGCACAGTGGGCGCTGCGTGCATGTGTGTTTGTGTGGGTGTGCACATGCTGAGTGCCTGCGTGAGGGAAGGCTGTGCACACGCATGGCCCCGTTGCACACGGATGTTTCAGAGCAGTGTGTGAGCGAGCGCGTAGGCAGGAGTCTGTGCTGTGTGCGCACGTGCTCACCGTGTGCAGGCCTCCCCCACTGGCAGCGGGCCCCCCTCCCTGGCCTGCCTGTGTCGTGGGAGCCTCAGGACCCCGAGGGAGGGAAGCTGCTGCTGGCGGATGTGGCCAAGATGAACTGGATTTATTTAGATTAAGGCGGTGGGAAAGGAGTGGAGACTTGTATGTGCTGGAAGGAGGGAAGGCTGGGGCTCTGAGAATGACTCCCCAACATACTTGCTCCTCTGGGCTTGAGGTCCTCACTCTGCTCCCCCAAGAGAGTCCCTCTGATTCATTGTGAGGACCTGGGCAATTAGTCCATCTTTGGACCTCTGTCCCCCCAACCTGGCCAAATAGGAGGAATCATGCGGGTTTCCTGGCACACAGCACACTCCGTGTGGACAAAGGGGGATCCCTGAGGGTCCCCCACCCTTCTGTTCTAGGGTCCTCCCGGGGCAGGAGAGTATGGCAGGTAGGGGGTGCCTGCTCCCTGACTATGCCACCATCTTGTCCCAGGTGGCTCCTGCCTGGCATGCAGCCCTCCCCCCAAAGAAGGGCAGTGGTCCCAGGCAAGCCCACTACCCCCAGTCAGCCGCCCGGCCCTTTTGGGTTGGCTAGAACCACAGCAGCCTCTGGGAAGCACAAAGAGGCCCAGAGACCTTGAGTACACAACTGAGGGTGTCAAGGATTCATCCAAGATGGCCCAGGCAGTCACGTTTGGGTGCCACAAACCCCACTCTGGTCTTTCCCAGTCCTCTGACCTGTTGTCCTCGCCACCCTTCCCCCTGCCACCTCCTGGGTTTCCATATGACCAGTTTATTTGTCTGGAAGTCACCTGAAAGACTGAGGCCCAGAGAGGGAAACAACTCATCCAAGTCCACACACCAAGTCTGTGACCCAAGGGTTGGGGAAATTCAATCCATGGAATGAGATGGGTTATGGATTCTCACATGACTCCAGCCTCAGGAATGTGGCCCCCTCCTTCTCATCAGTCCCCACCTCCCCAAACCACCCCAGCAGGAAAATAGTGACTAGAACCTTCTCTCTGGTCAATCAAAAAGGCAATTTCAGAACAGAGATGGCTCTTTGAGATGACCCATCCAAACTTCTCCCCATATGGATGGGGACACAGAGTCCCAGAGAGGGCTGGAGACTTGCTCAGTCTCACGGTGAGTCTGAGGCCCCTTTTGACTGGAGCCAAAATGATCATTTCATAGAGAGAAGCCAGTCCAAGATCGCTGGGCATCTACACTCGCCCTAAGCTGTCTACACTCTCCCTGAGCTCCTTTGCCCAGCCTATCGTGGCCCCCAGCCTGATTCTGCCTTTTCCCTGTGTGACTGGGCCATGATTCTGATGTCTCTGGGCCTCTGTTGCCTGTTTGAGAAGGCCCCTCCCAGCTCAGTCTCAGAGACTCTAAGGCAGCGCCCAGCCCCAGGACCAACAGGAGAGGAGCCAGGGTCGGGGGCTGCTCGCCCTGGGGCCCAGCCCACACGGCCCAGCCTTCCAGACCCAGGCCAGCCCCAGTTGCAGTGACCTCCCCTCTTGGGCTGGCTGACCAAATTCCTCCTTTAGAATAATAAACAGTGTGGCCAGCCAGAGAGGCTGGGAGGGGAGGGGCAGGCGGCTGAAATGACCCCCTCCCCCAGGCTCGGCTGCTAATGATTTTCTTTGGCTGAGATCTCCGGCAGGAAGGAGGGAGCCAGAGGGGCACCCACCAAGGGGCAGATGGGCCTCTGTGGGGGCTGCTGGCTCCGCCATAATGCTATTCCCTCCTGCTGGAGGAGGCCTGGCATCCAGCTGGTGGGGCGGGGCAGGAGGGATGGGAGTGGGGGTGCTGTGGAAGGGGTGTCAGAAGGGCTGGGCTTTGAGTCTGGAGCAATTGGGAGAAGGGAGAAATGAGGGGACCCTCAAGCAGGCTGGTCTGAAGGAAGGGGCAGAGGGAGGAGGAGAAGAGCAGATTCGCTTGGAGAGCTTCATGGGGTGCTGGGCAGAGCTGAGACTGGGGGTCCACCGGCTGGGAGTCATGCCTCTGTCCCACTACGAATGTGTAAATGCAGCCCTGTAAGTGGTACACTCATCATCATCTCATTTTGAGATCTGGAGACTGAGGCCACCAAGATAGCTATGGCACAGGAGGTAGCCTTGCTGGGGCTCAAATCCGGACCCCAGCCCTGGATTGGAAACTCAAAGGGGTGAGGTGGGGGGTGGAGTGGGGGCGAGCTGGGTGTGGCCTTAGGAGCTGGGCCAGGCTAGGCAGCCAACCAGGGAAGTTAGCAGACCCACGGCACTGAGAGGCTCCTTGTGCCTTGTCACATGGTCACTTCCCATGTTTCTTGCTCCGTGACCCCCATCCATGGTGGCCTCCTTCCTGTCGATGCTGCAGGCAGACCCCTCAAACCTGGCTGTTGGTGGTTATACCTGGCGCTGCCAAGGGCAGGAATAGAACAAAGACTCACCCAATTCAATCTGACTTTCTCCCCGTGTCCCTGCTTCTGTCTTTCTGCCTCCATGGTTTTGTGTTTCCTGGCTCTGTCTCTCTGTGTCTTTGTCTCTCTCTGCCTCTGGCATCCCAGGTCTCTTTGTCTTCTCAGACAAGGTCTGCGGTGTGTAACCTCGGGCAAACTTCTTTCCCTCTCAGGGCCTCAGTTTCCCCATTTGGACACTGGGGGTGGAGGAGGGGGGCTTGGATTCAGTCATCTCCAAGGACCTTCGAAGCCTTGCTGTGCGGTGGGGCCTCCCCTGGGCTCAGCCCCTCGCCCCTCTCTCCGGGGCCTCCCTCTCAGCCCGGGGCTGAGTAGAGGGGGCCAGGCATGGGGGGTGCCCCCCCACATTCCACAGCCCTGACTCCCCCGCTTCCCTTCCCACAGCCGCCTCCATTTCCTGTTGTGCTTGTGGAGCTGTGGGAGTTCTCTGGGTTCTGGCTTACCCCCTCCTTCTCCCCCAGGCCTTTCATCACACTTTCCCAAATATTTGTCCTGGCAGATAAGAGCCTGGTATTGGAACTGTCACCCGGAGGACAGGCTGTTAGAGCTGGCGGGTCTCTGGACACCATCTAGCCCAAGTCCCCCACCCCCACTGTACATACAGAGAAACTAAGGCCCAGAGAGAGGTGGGGGTTTAGCCAAGGCCACAGGAAGGGTAGAGGCAGAGCCCCAGCAGGGTCCAGGCACCCTGAGGGTGAGCCCAGTGCAGGGGGGAACCTGTGGGCATGAGTGCTCTTTCGGCCATGGGACACAGGTGGCCTCTGACTTCAGCCCCATGGATACAGAGGCTGGGTGGCCCAGACTAGGGCTCACTCTGCAGGACCCAGGTGCAACAATGGGCCCTGACCCCTGTTTAACTCTGCAGGACACCATGCGGCTTCCGAGTGCCAAGCCAGCTCCAGTCCTCAAAGGTAGGTAGGCTGTGGGGGGAAGAGGGGGACCTGGGGAGCCACTAAGCAGGACCCTGCAGCTGGCAGGGGTGGTGCATGTCAGCACCAGGGCCTGGGCGCCCAGGGGCACTGCCATGCTCTTGAGCCTCAACTTCCCACCTTTCCAGGGGGTCTCGGTGGAGGCCTCCTTCTCCTGCCCACCCCTCAGCTCAGAAACCTCAGCAGACCCCTGCTTGTCCAGAGCACCAGCTCAGATCCTTGGCTTGGCCCTCCACACCCCATGCCCCTCACCAACTGTCCCCACCCCACTCGCTAACAGTCACCCCGGCCTCCTATCTCTTCTCAGCAGTCGTTGGTATCAGTCTGGCTGGTCTGGTTCCGGTCTGGGGCTCCCCTCCCCTGCCTGGACCTCTCATTGGCTGTGAGCTCCCAAGTCCCGGCTGGGCCTCTCTCAGCACACCCTTCCCTCGCTCCTGCCCGTTACATGCAGTCAGCCCTCCAGGGGCTGGGCGGCTGACCAGGCAATCAATGGTCATTGGCAATCAATGACCAGCCAACAGCCTATCCGAGGATGACTGGCTGGCTGCCTGAGCACCCACCAGTCTGGGGGTCATGGCTTACAGAATCCTTCCCCAGGGGTGTCAGCAGGGGGAGGGCATCAATTACTCCACACTCCCCCAACCCCAGTCCCCTCCAGCCCCCAGGAGCCTTAGTGTCTCTCCTGCCCCAGTCTGCCCCACTCCGAGCTACCTGCCCCACCTCCCCAAGCAGAGCCACCTCTGGGCTTCCGGCGGAACCTGGGCAGCTGGGGCAGCTGCAGGGAAGAGGCTCAGAAAGTGACCTGGGAAGTAATGCAGGAACTGGAGGCCTGGGAATTGCTTCCCGAGGATTTCCTGATGCTTTGGGAGAACGTGCCCACAGCCTGAATGCAGCTGCGCTGCAGGACTCTGAGGCCGGGGGTCTGAAGGCACGAGATCAGGAGGCTTGAAGGAGTCCCTGGGGACCGGGCACCGGGCGAGCGGGCCTCAGAGCCGTGGGTTCCAGTCTGTGTCTGGATTAGGGAGGTGTGTTCTTCGCAGACCATGCAGATGTGGCCTCCCAGGGTCAGCTGTGAGGAGAGGTGCTGAGGCTCCTGTGCCCTGATATCCGCTGCCTCCTCTCCAAAGGCCAGGTGCTGTTGCTGCCCCTGCTGCTGCTGCTGCTGGGACCACAGGCCTCCCAGGGCCTAGTCATCACACCCCCGGGGCCAGAGCTTGTCCTCAACATCTCCAGCACCTTCGTGCTGACCTGCTCGGGTCCAGCTCCGGTGGTGTGGGAACGGATGTCCCAGGAGCCCCTGCAGGACACGGCCAAGACCCAGGACGGCACCTTCTCCAGCACACTGACGCTGACCAATGTCACTGGGCTAGACACGGGAGAATACTTTTGTGCCTACAAAGGCCCCCCTGGGCTGGAGCCTGGGGAGCGAAAACGGATCTACATCTTTGTGCCAGGTAAGGGCCCCCAGCCTGTGGGCTCGCTCCCTCACTCCGCTTCTCAACAGCAGGCATCTGGGGGAAGCTCAGAGCGTGCGTTAGTGACATCGTGAAATACAGCCAGCTTAGAAATGCAGACGAATCATGGAATCCAGCCTGGCTCAGTCCAGGAGTATGTCCACTCCCACCCCTTGGTGTGGATATCTGCCTCCTCCCTGGCAGCCCACCCCATAACTGGCTCCCAAGAACTCCGCATTCTCCGCTGCTTCCACTGTGCTCCCTCTTGGCCTCCACATCCCATCTTCCCCATTCTCCAAGCTCCAGGGACCAGCTGCCCTTCAATTTGTGGCTTATCTTCTTTCTCACCTTGGTGCTGTCCATATCAAACGTTAAAGCTGGAAGGGAGCTCTGAAAGTATCCTTATTCTGTAATGGGAAGACTGAGGGCCAGAGAGGGGAAGACACCTGCTCAAGGTCACACAGCAATTCAGGGGATGGCCAGAAACCCAGCTCCCCGGACCCTCATTCTTGGCCCCGCCCCTGGCAGATCCCTCTGTGGGCTTCCTTCCTGTGGACCCTGAGGAACTATTCATCTTCCTCACGGAAATAACTGAGACCACGATTCCATGCCGAGTGACGGATCCGCAACTGGTGGTGACACTGCATGAGAAGAAAGTGGATGTCCCGCTGCCCATCCCCTACGACCCCCAACGTGGCTTCTCTGGTACCTTTGAGGACAAGACCTATGTCTGCAAAACCACCATTGGGGACAGGGAGGTGGATTCCGATGCCTACTACGTCTACAGCCTCCAGGGTGAGCCCCCTTTCTGGCCTGATGCTCGGCAGAGGCAAGTATGACCCTTCACAGAGCCCTTTCCAGTTTACAAAGTGTGCAGTCTTGGAAGGCAGGTAGTGTTTCCCCATTTTACAGATGAGGAAACTGAGGCTCAGAAAGAGGATGGAGTATGCCCAAGGTCACAGGAAGCATAGTCGCAGAGCTGGGCTGTATCCCGTGGTAGGCAAAGTCATACGCTAGAGCCACGTGGGTTTGAATGTTGACTCTGCACGAGGCACAGAGTCTCTCTGAGCCTGTGTCTTCCTCTGTAAAATAACGATAATAATGACTGCCTGCCTAGTAGGATTACTGTGAAGATTAAACACAAGATGGAGGGTACCTGGGAGCAGTTGTAAATTTCCCCTGTACTTAGATGCCCAGAGAGTACTTTGATTTCAAGACTGTCATCCCTTCTAGAATGTCAGCTCTCTGAGGACAGAAATTTTCTCTGTTGTGTTTACTACTAAAGGCCCAGTGCCTACAATAGTACTTGGCATACAGTAGGCATTCAATAAATATTTGTTGAATCAATGAATCTTCCACACCAGTCAGCCCTTCCCTCTCTGGACCCCCACCCCATCCCCAAGCTGAAGTGCTGGTGGCTGGTGGTGATCCTCAGCCCTAAGACAGTCTCTCTCCACCAGTGTCATCCATCAATGTCTCGGTGAATGCAGTGCAGACTGTGGTCCGCCAGGGTGAGAACATCACCATCATGTGCATTGTGACTGGGAACGAGGTGGTCAACTTTGAGTGGACATACCCTCGCATGGAGGTAATGCTGGGCCAGGGGCTGGAGGCAGGGCCAGGCAGAGACGCATATCTCGACTTGCAGCCTGACTTCCTGGACCCTTCCTGATTTGGGGGGCTTGCCCCACCTGTCCCTACAGAGTGGGCGGCTGGTGGAGCCAGTGACTGACTTCCTCTTCGATATGCCCTCCCACATACGCTCCATCCTGCACATCCCCAGTGCAGAGCTGGGCGACTCAGGGACCTACATCTGCAACGTATCGGAGAGCGTGAATGACCATCGCGATGAAAAGGCCATCAACGTCACCGTGGTTGGTGCGTGCCCTGGGCTCATCCCCAACTCTCATTCTGTGCTAGACCCAGACCCTGTGCCAGCCTCAGTGCCAACCAAAGTCCCATTTCCAGGATAAACCCAAACCAAAGTACAGCGTCAGCCCCCAATCCAACCCTAATCCCAACCTAGACTCTCCGCCTAGCCAGAACCCCAGCCCCAACCCAGTTTCTAATCCCAACCGCCATCGCAGGCCCAGGCAGCCCATCCCAAATTCAACCACGCTGCAACTCACCTCGGTCACAATCCCGAGCCCCGTGAGAACTACAACTCCAGTCCCAATCTCAAACCCGGCCGCCCAACCAGTATCAACCCCAAATTCGGCCCCTGCTCCAGTCCCAGCCCCAACTTCAACCCCAGCTGCGATGACTCCACCGCTGGTTCAGTTCCTAAAGCCTGAAGCCCCGCCCCCAGAAGATGGGCTTCTGTGGCATTCAGTTGATGCCCCGCCTCCAGGAGCCCCGCCCCCGGGAGGCGCTGCCCCATTGGTGGCCGGGCCTAGCCCCGCCCCTACGGCCCCGCCCCTGACGGCCGCTCCCTTGCAGAGAGTGGCTACCTGCGGCTGCTGGGAGAGCTGCAACCTGTACAATTCGCGGAGCTGCACCGCAGCCGGACACTGCAGGTTGTGTTCGAGGCCTACCCGCCGCCCACTGTCATGTGGTTCAAGGACAACCGCACGCTGGGCGACTCCAGCGCCGGCGAGATCGCCCTGTCCACGCGCAATGTGTCTGAAACCCGGTGAGCAGCGCCTGCCCGCTCCATTCTTGAAGTTATCATTCTCTACAGAGACCAGGCAGCCCACAGCCTTCAGCCACTGGACAAACCTAGGCCCGTCTTTCCTGAGAGCCTACTATGTGCCAGGCCCTGGGGATGCTGCAGAGACCAGCACAGCTTCATCCCTCCTAGGGTTTCCTGTCTAGTAGGGTAAACAGACACTGGTCAGATGATCACCCAGATGGTGTTGTCCTTGTGATGGGTGGAGTCAGCAGGGCACAGCCAAGGACAAAAAGGCCAGATGAGTGGGAAAGAGGGGGCCAGGCAGGCCACTGCCACCTATGCATGGAAGGCAGCCCTGAGGCTGGAGATTAGCAGGCTGACCTAAGGCGCAGTATGATAGGAAAAGCAGCGTCAGGCATTTCTGAAGGGGATGAGATGTGCAGCGGGAGGGAAATGATGCTTCTCCCACGCTATGGCTCAGTGGAGCTGCCTATGGGTGGGCGTTCAGGAGGCTGGGTGTGAGTCCTGGCTCTTCTACTGACACCTGTATGAACTTGGCAAGCCCCTTCCCCTCCCCGGGCCTGGTTTTTCTGTCTGTACAAGGAGAGTGGGGAGAGCTGTAAGAGTTCTGCCAGCTCTGACAGCTGGGCCTGTCCTGCTCCCCAGGTATGTGTCAGAACTGACACTGGTGCGGGTGAAGGTGGCTGAGGCTGGCCACTACACCATGCGGGCCTTCCATGAGGATGCTGAGGCCCAGCTCTCCTTCCAACTGCAGGTCAACGGTGAGGAGCCCACCCCTCTGCTTTCCTTCTCCTGCCCCTCCCACCCCACTCCCTCTCCTTTCCTACACTGTCCACCCACCCACTGGAGGGGCAGGAGAGGGAGCTGGGGACTCAGAAGGCTGGGTTCTAGGCTGAGCTCAAACACTGTCTCACTGCCGTGTGAACTCATATCCCCTCTCTGGGCCTCAGTTTCCCTATGCAAGAAGGCCATTGGGCTAGATTGGAGTTTCTAAAATCTCAGGTATTCATGCACCAATGCCATGATTTTTCCTTCTCACATACCACTGATACTATACTACTAATTAGATAGTTACTGAGCAACTAATATGCCAGTCCGTTCAAGGTGCTTCAGGCCCTGCCTTTGTGCAGCTTGTGTCCTAGCGGGGGAAGACGAGCATTCAACAGTAGGGGAAAAACCCAACAAATTGTGTAGAAGGTTAGAAGGTAACAAGTGCTGTGAAAGGAAAGAAGCTGGGTAGGGAAGATTGAGAGTTCTGGGGGTGGGGAGGGGGCGGGGAGGGTTGCAGTTTGAAACAGTGTGATCAGGGTTGGCCTCGTAGAGATGACATTTGCATCAGGACTTCAAGAAGGTGAGGGCATTAGTCAAGTGGCTGTTTGGGAAAGGACACACCAGGCAGTGCAAAGGCAGGAGCAACAGCAGAAAGGCCCGTGTGGCTGGAACAGAGTGGGGAGAGTGGTGGGAGATGAGGTCAGAGCTGAGATGGAGTAGCTGGGGGGTGGGGGGAGGGCAGACCGTGTAGGGCCCCACGGGCCCTTGTACGGACTTTGGCTCTTACTGTGACTGAAATGAACAGCCATGGCAGGGTTTTGAGCAGAGGAATGACACTTAATGTTCTGTCAATTGACTTTCTAAAAATAAATGTGTTTTGAAAGAGAATTTAACCTCTCAATTGTAGATGGAAAATCAGCATCACATGTCATAAATATAAAGCAACCACTAAAATAAACTCCGAAACAAAACAGTGCTATTAAATTCTAGCTCCATGCTCTTGTCTTCCCAGGGCTCTCTCTGATCCTCGGCCTGCTCTCTCTTTGTTAAAAGGGAAGATTAGCAAGTCTCAGAGAAGTGTTAAAGACAGACTAGCACCCCACTGAGGCTTTCCCTTTGAAGTACTCAGAAGGGGACTCTGTCAGCTTTCACACGGCGATTCCTGCTACTTAATGTTCACCTGCCACCTGTAGCTCCCCGCCCCCCAGGGGAGACTGGGGCTGGGTCCTGCCCTAGGGCCTTTCTCTCTGACTGCCTATTCTGACCTCCCCACCTCCTGGCACCACGCCCTCTCCCTGCAGTGCCTGTCCGTGTGTTGGAGCTGAGTGAGAGCCACCCTGCCAGCGGGGAGCAGACAGTCCGCTGTCGTGGCCGGGGCATGCCCCAGCCACACCTCACCTGGTCTACCTGCAGCGACCTCAAAAGGTGAGCAGACCCAGGGGCCTCAGTCTCCCAGAGTACTCACAAGCCCACTGGAAGGACCCAGTGAAGGACATCTAGTCCAGACCCTTCCTCGAGGCGCATTGTCCAGGCTAGAGCCACATTCTAAAAGATGTGGCTTCTTGGAGATGCTCTCCATGAGCTAAACTGTCCCTTTTTCTTACTTTGATTCTGAGGGTCAAATGAAGGGAGTGGATTTTGCAATCCAGGACTCTCAGTTCTGGGGTAGGAGCGCCCCCTGCTGGTCAGTCTAGGCACTACAGGAGGAACGAGCTCAGGACCAGGCAGCGGGAAGTAGCGAGGACTGGATGCGCCCGGCCTCCTTCCACCACCACCTCGTGGCGCTGCCTGCTTTTGGCCTCAGTTTCCCCGCCTGCAGAGGGAAGGGACTGGAAGCATACTGGGCTGGCTCTCCCGGCAGGTGTCCGCGCGAGCTGCCGCCCACGCCGCTGGGGAACAGTTCCGAGGAGGAGAGCCAGCTGGAGACTAACGTGACGTATTGGGCGGAGGAGCAGGAGTTTGAGGTGGTGAGCACGCTGCGCCTGCGCCGCGTGGATCAGCCGCTGTCGGTGCGCTGCACGCTGCGCAACTTGCTGGGCCATGATGTGCAAGAGGTCACTGTGGTGCCACATTGTGAGTCCTCCAGCCTCGGCGGCCCTTGACGACCCCTCACCCCCACCTTAACCCTGCCATACTTGGGACTGTGCCTCTGCGTCCACAGCAGGCCAGAGTCAGCATGTCCACGGGCACTCAGGAGCATTGTGAAATCCACCAGAGTATGTTCCTCTGCACTTATACAACAACACAATATTGGCACACGTGTACATCCACGAGTATATATCTATGAATCATGCCTATGAATAGCACTATCTCCTATGCCTGGTGTATGGACACTGTATGTATGTTGTAAACCATGTACATGAGCATGCCTGATCCTTGGACCCAGGTGCAAACCCTCCGAGTGTAGCTTTGTAAACCATGTAATGAAGCATGCCCAGTCCCCAGATCCACTCATGAAGCTAGAGTGTATGTCTGTGAGCATGTACGCAAATACGCATGATGCCTATGTGTGTAAACCCACCGACAGTGTTTGTAAACCACGTACGTGAGCATGGCCAATCCCCAGACATGTATATAAACCCACGAGTGTGTGTCTGTATGCATGTACATGCGAGTGCACAATCCCCATACAAGTGTGCAAACAATGCAACTACAATTCCTGTGCATGTGTACAAACTGGCATAGTGTGTGTCCGTAAGCATGGAGTTGCAGCACACCTTTCTGTGAAAGTGTGCACGCACAATCCCCGCACGTATATGCCTGCTGTACAACACATGTCTGTTAGCAGTTACCCATACATGCATGATTCTTGTCCATATGAACAGTGCCTGGATGCTTTTGCTACCTGCCAATCCCTGTGCATGTGTGTACCTGTTTGCTTGTACTTCATATGTTCACTTGTTTCTTCATTCAGTAAATGGTTATGGGGTCCCAGCTTCTCACTGGAGAAGGCCCAGTCCTGCCTGCCCTTCTAGTGCCTGCAGTCCAGAGAGGAGGCAGACGAGGAACTAGGCAATCCCACTGCATGGGTCAGCAGTTTGAGGGGAAAGCCTAGAGGGAGGAGGGGCTCCATGCTCAGCTATGGAATTCAGGAAAATGTCCTGGAAAAAGGAATCTTTAGGTCAAAACCTCAAGGATAACTGGGAGTTAGCCTTGTGAGTAATGGTATTCCACTCAGAGGGAATGGCGTGTGCAAAAGCCCAGAGGCAAAGTGGGTTCAGAGAAATTAAAGGAATTCAACGTGACTGGAGGACAGAGCGTACATATATTTAGGGGCTGGGAGGAGGAGATAGAGGGGAGGGGAGTGAAAGAGAGGGGCTACAGGGGTGGGCAGAGGCCAGTGAAGCAGGGCTGCAAAGGCTGTGTGAGGCGTTTTGGACACACACTCAGGCAGGTCCATGGCCTTGCACATGCAAGTGCCTGTCTGTACACAGACCTGCCTCTTGCCTCCTGCTTCCTACCCTGTGGGCGGAGGGTGGGGGTTTTAATACCTTATCGCATCCACACTCCTGCACATGCACACATATCCCTGAGCAAGTGGGCACCTGCAGACCAGCTCTGAGCAAGGCAGAAGTAAAGCTTTTGTGTGCCTGACGGAGAAGCCATGCACCAGCCCTCGGGGAACTGCCATGGCTGCATCAATCCTCCTCTTTTTACTCAGATGGCTCCTTAGTAGATTCCGACTTCCTTCCCAGGACTGACCTGTGACCTGAATGGTGGGGAGAGGGAGGAGAGGAGTGATGTTGGTCTGGGACCCTGAGGAAGAGGGACAGGACCCCCTGGGGAGCAGAGAGGGGGCAGGTGGGGGGCAGAGGAGGAAGGAACGAGTTCCCCGGGGACCCCATGGTGGCCAATGGGGCAGGGCAGGGGAGATGAGGGTCTGGCCAGGGTGGATGTGGAGGGAATGGGAAGGAATGGGAAGCTGTGCGGCAAAGAGGCTGAGGCCTTGGGGATGGAAGAGACTCAGGACTTGGGGGACCCAGAGTTAGCCCTACTTGGTTACTCCTGTTCCCTGGGGGATGCACTTTGTAACTACCATCATTCTCCCAACCCCATTGGGCACTTGGGGTGAACAGAGGAAGAAGTAGGCTCCTCTCTGCAGTCTGGGTTCATCAGGCTATGGGAGCTCCATCCCTCAGTCCCCTGGCCACTCAGTCAGGCACTGTCCTAGCTGTGACAGCCCCAACGAGGGCACGGATTCAGAGGAGAGGTGAGCCACAGCCCAGCCGTCAGGGGTTGCATCCAAACTGGAGCTGCGGCAGGCAGGTCAGACTGACCCCTGCAAGGGCCGGAAGGACATGGAGGCTGACGGGGATCTGAGCTGCGGGTGGTTACTGAGGGGCACGGGGGATTTATGCGAGATGCTGAGAGTTGGACATCACAGGCCACGGTTGGTGGAGGGGGGCTTCTGTTCTGGGCAGGATAGGCGGAGAGGGCTTTGTGGTGCCAGAGATTGGGTGAGGAGAGGGCAGCTGCCAAGCGCCCTGTTTGCTCATGGCCAGTTCTTGTCTCTGCCTCCAGCTCTGCCCTTCAAGGTGGTGGTGATCTCGGCCATCCTGGCCCTGGTGGTCCTCACGATCATCTCCCTCATCATCCTCATCATGCTCTGGCAGAAGGTAAACCCCCACCCTCACCAATGGGCGCAGACTGGCACACCATTTTTTTGCCTGGGCTCCCCTCTCCCCCACCACACTTACCTTGAATACTGCAGGCTCCAGTCACATCTGGGCCCAGCATGGAGCTCAGGTGTAAAATGATACAGAGTGATGCTGAGTGTCCTATCTGCCTCCACTCCCGGCACCTGGGCCAACTCGGGCCTGGTCCAGGCCCTCCAGGGGTTCCTGCCTCTGCTCTGCCCCCCAGGTCCTGCTCAGATGTCACCCCTGCCCATCCTAGCCATAGGGTATGGGACCTGTGGGATGGTCTACATGGGCTCCAGGATTCTTCCAACTCTCACCCCCAGAGACTCCCAGGATTCTACCGAAATGCATTCTAATCCTATTAATCTGTAATTTCAATGTTCTGTTCTGAGAGTTCACCATTCTATGATTCCAACGTTTTAAGATTCCTGAGTTAGGATTGCAGCACCGCATCATTCTATCATTCCAAGATTCCAATCCTATGATTACAACATCCTATGATTTCAACATTCCGAAGTTACATCTTTCTGAGACCCAGCATGGGGAGGGCTGTCCACATCCGGCCTAGTGCCCCTGCCTCGCGTCACTTTCCGAGGCTGCCTGCTCCTCTACTCCCATCTGATGAGCAGCTGAGGTTCTGGGAGAAGCTGATGGGGAGCTTCTGATGAGCCGGGCCCTTGGCTGTCAGGCTAAGTCCCCCCAGTGGGGGCCCCTTGGCACCTGTTCCCACTGTGCCCATAAAGGCCTTGGCTCCATCAATAGCTTGCTATGTGACTTCAGATATGCCTCTGCCCCTCTCTGGGCTTCAGGGTCTCCTGCCCCATCTGTTCCTTATGGGGCTGGACCTGGTGGGACTCAAGGCCCAGACCCCCTCTGATGATCCATTCCTGGTCTCGGTCCTGCAGAAGCCACGTTACGAGATCCGATGGAAGGTGATTGAATCTGTGAGCTCCGATGGCCATGAGTACATCTATGTGGACCCTATGCAGCTGCCCTATGACTCCACCTGGGAGCTGCCTCGGGACCAGCTCGTGCTTGGTCAGTCCAGGGAGGCCTCATGTGGCAGTCTGGGGACTTGAGGCGGGTGGGAAGACTGTCTGAGGTCTGGTCCCAGCCTTGCCATGACCAGCTTTGAGACCTAGGGCTGATGTCTTGCCCTCTCTGGCCTTCAGTCCCCCCTCCCCCATACAGTGGGGACAAGATGACCTGAAAGGGGCTGTCCACGTCGTGGCCCTATCCTTCTGTGACTGTGTGACATAGGACCCCTTTGTGGTGAGAGAGGAAGTATTCATCGAGGGCAGGCTGGGTGCCAGGCCTGTGTTTAGTCTAGCAGTGGTGGCTGAGGGGTGCGGAGGAGCTATGCTCCTCTCTGGGGAGAGAGGAAGACTTCCAGGGACCAAAGCTGGGCCAGAAAGCAAGCAGGACTTAGATGAGCACCAGCAAGGACCTTGAAACACTGTGATTTTAGGAGCCTCCTTGGGGGAACACCTTCAGTCTGGGGTGGCTTGAGGGATTGATCAGAGAGGGTGAGGGATGCAGCTTCCCGGTGGGCAGGAGCTGAAGGATCATCTCTACCCTAGGACGTACCCTCGGCTCCGGGGCCTTTGGGCAGGTGGTAGAGGCCACGGCTCATGGCCTGAGCCATTCACAAGCCACGATGAAAGTGGCAGTCAAGATGCTGAAATGTGAGTCATGGGAGCGCACCCCTCCTCACATCTGGGCCCCCACCTCCCCCTGCCCCCTCCCCACACATAAAGGCAAGCCCAGAGCAGGCCTGAGTCTAATTCTCAGGGCATAAGAAATGCACCCCGCGACCAGCACCACTCCTGATTCTGCTTAGGGAGACCCTTCCCCCTCTCCCCTCCTCTAGGGGCCTCCTCCCCTCCCCCACCTTCCTCCCATCCTCTTTCCCTCCCACTGCGTGTGGGTCCTCAGCACCCTAGGCCACCTGGGTCCTACAGCACAGGGTGGGGCAGAAGAGCCAGATTAGGTTCCACGGGGCCTCCTCCACAGGGCTCAGTGCCTGGGACGAGTACTGAGACCCCGTCTCCCTCAGCCACAGCCCGCAGCAGTGAGAAGCAAGCCCTCATGTCGGAACTGAAGATCATGAGTCACCTCGGGCCCCACCTGAACGTGGTCAACCTGCTGGGGGCCTGCACCAAGGGAGGTACCACACCTGCTCCCCCAGAGGATTCTGGAAAATGCCAGCTGCCAAGGCTGGGCCCCTTCCCGCCCCCTCCTCAGTCCAGGGACAACAGGACCCTCCATCTGGAGGCTCTGCACTCATCTTGTTCAGTGCCCTCACTTCACAGACCCGGATGGGTGCGAGGTTTACAAATTCACAAAATCACAGCACCATCTGTGCTGTGGTGACGCTTCAGGTCACCAGTCCCAGCAGTTTCCAAATCAAGGGGTCCTCTGACGTTTTTAAATTTTCACAATACCTTTTAGAAACTGTACTAAATAACAGCTCCTGCGACACTGAGACGAGTTATATCCCCACCATGGGAGACCACCAGTGTGCTCCCTGGGAGCCGCTTTTGTTCAGATCACAGAATAAAGTCTCTCCGGCCAAGTGTATTTATTTGAAGCTCTGCTTGCAAGTTAGGCCACAAAAGCATGTTATCACCATTTGCAGCTGCTTATTGTGAGATTTCGGATTTTCCTCAGTATTGTGCAACCAAAACAAAATACAGAAGTGCATTGCATACATAGGCCAATCTATGTCTGCGGTGATAACCCGTTTCAAAATTTTTTGTTTTCATCAATATCTTCAATCTCCCACCGATTGACTTTAAGTAAGTGTATTTGAATTTAAACAGTAACCTGATAATACACAGTGCCTTTATTTATTTTATATACTGGGCTCCAAAGTAAGCTTTAGCGTGAAAACCTTTCAGTAACAGCTAACGTTGTGCTTGCTGCGGGCCAGGCACTGAGCTGAGCCGACTCAGGCAGCATCTCAGGACACTCATGCCAGCCCCATGAGGTGGGTCTTATGAGCCCCATTTGACAGACGGGGAAAGTAAAGCTCAGGGAGACTATGAATCTTGCTCGCGGTCACAGAGGCAGGAAAAGAATCCGTTTGCCTGGCGCCAGAGCCCCTTCACGGTCTTACCCAACTGTCTCTCCCACGCGCAGCCCGTCACTAGCCTCGTGGCCCTGGTGGGGACTGTCCCTGAGCCTGTCCCTCCGCAGGGCCCATCTACATCATCACCGAGTACTGTCGCTATGGCGACCTGGTGGACTACCTGCACCGCAACAAGCACACCTTCCTGCAGCACTGCTCCGACAAGCGCCGCGCACCCAGCACCGAGCTCTACAGCAACGCCCTGCCCGTGGGGCTCCCGCTGCCCAGGTACTGCGCGGTGGGAGGCCAGGACCTGCATCCTGGGGGAGCCCTGAGGAGCCTGCTCCCGCCCTCCCTGTCCAGGATGGGCAGCTGAGGCCAGGGCAGCAGAGTCGCTCTTGGAGCCAGGCTGTTTTACAAGTCACGAGGCGTGACAAAGTGATGGTGATGGTGGGGTGGCCCGCCACCTATGGACTGTCCTGTCCGCAGCGTGCCAGCCCCTGTGCTGAGCACCTTGCAGACGTGACCCTTGACCCCCACTCTGTTCCTGCGTCTGAGGCCTTCCTCCCCTCCCACGGTGAGCGCCTGGGCTCTCCTCTGCAGGCCCCACTCCATGGCTGCGCTCCAGGCTCTGCTCCTTGCTGCAGCTTCCCCGCTGCCTCTGCACGCCAGTCTCTCTGGTGCCCCACAGACCACGCAACCCTCTCTTCTTCTTTTCCAAGAATAACATGTCTTAGTCCTTTTGCTGATTACAAAAGCAATGCATGTTTACTGCAGAGGTGAGAGTAACTTCAGAAAAGCATTAAAAGCCAATAAAACTGGCCCTGTCCTCCCCAACACATTGATCCATTTCCTTCCAGTCTTCTTTCTCCCCGTGGAGGCACGTGTGTGTATAGTCCCGCAGCTCTCTGGGGAGCCGATGCGCAGGCGGAGCACTAAGGCAATTCGTTGTCCACTCTGGGTGGTGGCCGGGTGCTCACAGGGCATCATGGCTGGATGGTGCTGTAGAGCCGCAGACAGGCGCCTTGGTACAGGTCCTTTTCGTGACCCTTGTCCTGGGGTGCTGCTGTAATCGCCCCTGGGCGTGAGATCTCTGAGGACACACGTGGGTGTGTCGTCTTGGCAGCCCCAGTGCCCAGCTCAGGGCCCGAGAGGCTGGTTGAAAGGGCTCACTGCATGGTCGTCCACACTGTGACAGGCTGGAGGAGGGTGAGTGAGGGAGTGAGAGAAGGAATACAGGGTGACAGGGCCTTGCGGGCCCCCTGGGTCAGCAGAGGGGCAGGAGGGGGAAGAGAAGGGAAAGGCTTGGCCTCTCCTGTGATGCTCCTCTCACCCCCAGCCACATGACCCTGCCTGGAGAGAGCGACGGTGGCTACATGGACATGAGCAAGGACGAGTCGGTGGACTACGTGCCCATGCTGGACATGAAAGGAGACGTCAAATATGCAGACATCGAGTCCTCCAACTACATGGGCCCTTACGACAACTACGTCCCCTCTGGTGGGTGCACGCACTGTCGTCACCCTTGCACGGCCCTCACCTGTGCAGTGGTGCATTCTTCTCAAAGCCTTTCACATGCCCAGCCTGGCAACAACCCTGGGAGGAAGGTAGCCTTGTGCCCATTTCGTGGATGCAGAAACTGAGGCTAGCCACCTGCCTAAAGCTGCTGTGTGTGGATCCGCAATATGAACCCCTGTTTCTGGGTCCAGAGGTGTGCGCACAGCCCACAGGGAGGGGAGGAGTGAGGATGGGGTGGTACCTGGCCTCCTGGGGACTTGAGGAAGGGCGGTCTGCACAGAACAGGCCCCAGGCTGATCTAGTGTCCCTCAGAAGCAGGCAGGCCAGACTGGGCTAATGCCAAACATTTTTCTGGCCAATGAGAGCACTGATAAAGTAGGAGAGGTTTAAGTTAGATATTTGGAAATAGTTTTCCTTTTAGGGGAGACTTAGAGGATCAGTAGCCGCCTATCTTTGACATTCAGTCTCCACGAGCCAAAGGGCAGGGGTGCTGTGGACCGTGGGGAGACACAAGATGGTGGGTGACCTTCTACTTATCCCCTAGCTCCCGAGAGGACCTGTCGGGTGACTTTGATCAACGACTCCCCAGTGCTTAGCTACACGGACCTTGTGGGCTTCAGCTACCAGGTGGCCAATGGCATGGAGTTTCTGGCCTCCAAGAATGTACGTGTGGTCACAGTGGGTGGATTGGGTCATGGGGAGGTAGGTCACCCAGCCAGCCAGGGTCCTCCAAGTACTCAGCCCCATAGGGCAGCTCCATCCCCTTGGGTCGAATGTCCTCACACCGTGTAGCCCCTCACACCCGGGCAGTGATGCATTTTTCCCAAAACCCTTGAGATGGAAGGTCTTTCCCCACAATTGCCCCCAAGGCCTCAGCTCCCCTCTCCCCCACCCAGTGCGTCCACCGAGACCTGGCGGCCAGGAACGTGCTCATCTGCGAGGGCAAGCTGGTCAAGATCTGCGACTTCGGCCTGGCTCGAGACATCATGCGGGACTCGAACTACATCTCCAAAGGCAGTGTGAGTGCCTTCCCCGGCCCTGTGTGCCTCTGACCCTCCTGGTCAGTGTGGCTGTGGCTCACAGGAGATCAGGACGGGGCTCCTCATGGCCCAATCTGCCCAGTGGCGACAGGCTCTGCCTGCCTGGCCGTGTGTGCAGGGACAGGAAGGGCAGCCACCAGCTGTGCGTGGGGTGGGAGGGGGCAGAGAGGCTGAGGCTTGTGGAGGGCGGTGGGGGGCTCAGATTTGCTGGTCACAGCAGGGAGCGAGGGACCAGCTGTAATGGGTCCAGGGGAGGGTGGAGGGGGAGCAGGCCAAATGTGTTACCCCAGCGGTGGTGGCGGGCAGAGGAAGAAGCCCAGGCAGCGGGCTGAGACAGATGGGTAGGTGGCAGGCAGTATTTGTTTAAAATGTGACCATCCTGCCCCCCACTCCTGTCCCCACTTTCCACATGGGGATAGTGAACCCCAGAAGTGACGCTAGGGCCCAGAGTTCTAAGGCAGCTAGGATGAGAGCTGGGTGGCACCTTGGCATCTCCCTTGCTCCCCTTCTACTCTACCAACCTGGCCAGGGGCCTCTATTGGGGTGAGGAGGCGGGGCCTGTTCCGAGAGGAGCCTCAAACCCTGGGGCTCTTCCCCAGGGACAGGGGCTGCCGTGTCCCCAGTTCGTGGGAAAAGGAACTTGGCCTCCTGATCCTCTGGCCAGCACTGGGACGGGCGGGGAATCCTGTGCCCGCAGAGCCGGGCCTGATCCTCTGGCCAGCACTGGGACGGGCGGGGAATCCTGTGCCCGCAGAGCCGGGCTCTCAGGGACGGGGAATGAGGATCTGGGAGTGGGACCCGCCAGGCCTCCTTCCCTCCCAGGTGCAGGGTGGGGCTGGCCCCTCCTTACACTCAGCGCTGTCCTGCCCTCCCGCAGACCTTCCTGCCTTTGAAGTGGATGGCCCCGGAGAGCATCTTCAACAGCCTCTACACCACCCTGAGCGACGTGTGGTCCTTCGGGATCTTACTCTGGGAGATCTTCACCCTGGGTACGCGCCCTTCTCCCGCAGCCCTCAGAGCCTTGGCATGGCCTCCACCCTGACCACTCACACTGCCCGACTGGTAGGGCTGTGGGACAGGCTCCGGGACAGGGGTCCAGGGCTGGACTTGGGTCCAGCAAGTCCCAGCTCTGCTGCTTTCTTGCTGCTGTGTGACTTTGGCAAGTCCTTGCCCTCTCTGTGTTTCTTTACCTCCCCATCTGAGTATCAAGGGGTTTGCACAGTGACATCAAAAAGCCTGCATGGATCTCGTGTTCTCTGGTTCTCTGATTCTGGGGAGGGTTGCAGTCTCTGTCCAGAGCCCATAACAGAGCCCACATTTCCCAGCACCAAGGCCTCTGCACCCTCACCCACGCCAGGCTGGCATGCCTCTCCCTGTCCCGCAGAAAAGACTACCGACCACTTTTCCAACACCTGAGCCCACATATCTCTTGTCTCTGCTCCCGACAGGTGGCACCCCTTACCCAGAGCTGCCCATGAACGAGCAGTTCTACAATGCCATCAAGCGGGGCTACCGCATGGCCCAGCCTGCCCACGCCTCGGACGAGATGTGAGTGGAGCCTCCTGCATCTGGGAGGAGTTTTTGGGTGCAAACGATAGATATCCAACTTTACCAGCTTCAGCCAAAGATGGGTTTATTAGCTCAGAGACCTAGATAAATCTAGGAACAGCTGGCTCTGGGTGTTCAGACGATGTCGTCAGGAAGCCTCATTCTGCCCTGGGGCTCTGCTTTCCTCTGTGGCGGCCTGGTTTTCAGGCTGGCACTACCCAAAAGGCTACGTCCTAGCTGCCTTCACCGTAGTTCCAGCAACAGGCCCAGAGCTGACTGTCGAGGGCTCAGCTGGGGTCACACGGCCATCCAGAACGAGCCACTGAGCTGTGGTGGGGGGAAACTCCTACCGGCCAGACCCGGGTTGTGTGCTCACCAAGGTGTGGTCCACCCCACGGAAACACTGGTGGAGGGAGGGCTTCCTAAGGGGACATCCAGGTGCAATAATGGGAAAACAACGCCTGTCCCCAACTCCTTCCATTGCTCCCCTTGTTCTGGGGGGTGGTAGACCCTGAGCCAGAGACCTTGACCCCCTCTGCCCGTCTCCCCAGCTACGATATCATGCAGAAGTGCTGGGAAGAGAAGTTTGAGATTCGGCCCCCCTTCTCCCAGCTGGTGCTGCTTCTCGAGAGACTGCTGGGCGAGGGTTACAAAAAGGTATGTTGAGGCAGGGTGGGGGTGGGGAACCAAGTGTTCTGGTCCAGGAGTCCGACACTGGGTGCAAGGCTCTGTGTGACATGCTGGTATTTGGGGGACCACCCTTTACCCTCTCTGGGCCTCAGTTTCCCTGCTGATATTAGTTAAGGGATGGGCTAGAGCTATGAGTTTAATTTATTTTAGCAGCACAGAGGTTTTTGAAATGAAATCCTTCCTGGAAGCTGATTGATTTAAAGTGGGGGAAGGGAGCCTACAGCCCCCGTCATGCGGCATCCTTCCTCCCGCCTGTGCACCCAGGCCCAATTTTGGGTCTCCTTCAGAAGTTTGAACAACCCCAGGCTGGATGGCTGCTGAAGGCCTGACCACAGGCTCACACAAGGCTGTTGGAGCCAGCAGGGCCTTAAAGCCCTCCCTGTCTGACAGTGAGAGCAGGAGTGAGGGGGAGCACAGACACAGCCCTTTCCGAGGTCCGTTCCTCACCCCACTCCCACCCCATGTCTGGCTCCAGCTCCGGGACCAGTGGGATGGAGTGGAGTTGTCACCACTCAGTAGCAAGGGAAACTGAGGCCCCACAGAGGGAGGTTGAGGCAGGATGAGAGCCCACGCCCGTCTACTCTGAAGTAGGGGAGTGTTAGGGTTGAGGGTGCTGCTCTGCTAACTGCCCCTCCCTGGGCGTTCCTGAGCTCACTTTGTCTTGTGAGATGCAATTGGGCGGGCAGCTCAGCTGTGTGGCTTTGGGCAATTCTCCTTCCTCTCTGAGCACCAGTTGCTATATTCACACAAGGCTGGGTCAGAATCTAACTGTTGGATGATCCCTAATCCCTGTCTGGTCTGACCATCCCTGTTTTTCGGTTCTCCTTGCCCCACGGAGCAGAAGTACCAGCAGGTGGATGAGGAGTTTCTGAGGAGCGACCACCCGGCCGTCCTTCGGTCCCAAGCCCGCTTGCCTGGCTTCCATGGCCTCCGATCCCCCCTGGACACCAGCTCTGTCCTCTACACTGCTGTGCAGCCCAACGAGGGTGACAACGACTATATCATCCCACTGCCTGACCCCAAACCCGAGGTTGCTGATGAGGGCCCACTGGAGGGTTCCCCCAGCCTTGCCAGGTAGCCGCTCTGGCCGGGGGCCCAAGGCATTGGTGTACACAGTGTGTGTGTGTGCTTGTGTGTGTGCGTGTATCTATCTGTCTGTTTATGTCTTCATGGCATCAGGCTTGCCTTAGAAGTAAGTTACCTAGGGGGCCAGCCCTGTGGCTTAGCGGTTGGGTGCGCGCGCTCCGCTACTGGCGGCCCAGGTTCGATCCCGGGTGCGCACTGACGCACCGCTTCTCCGGCCATGCTGAGGCTGTGTCCCACATGCAGCAACTAGAAGGCTGTGCAACTATGACATACAACTATCTACTGGGGCTTTGGGGGGAAAATAAATTAAAAAAAAAAAAATTTAAAAAAAAAGAAGTAAGTTACCTAGGGTGTGTACTTATTCCTGCCGGTGAATACAAGAGAGAAATGAACTTATTTGACCTTCGATGACCTCAGGTGGAAAGGGCAGGCTGGTAAGAGAAAGAATGGGCTGGGACTTATATGCAAGGTAGCTGTTTCCTTTAAAGGAGCCCCATAGGCCGTCTATTCTCCCCTGTCTGGGCCCTGTCCTAGCCCTAAGAAAACTGAATTAGCATCCCCAGCCCCTAGCATGTTGCTCTGGAATCATCGCCAGCCCTAGGCCTATGGTCTGTCCTTCAGCAGGTGCTCTGAGGGCCCCGGGGGGTCTTGCACGGTTGTAGGAGGCAGAGGAGCCTACAGGAGCTCAGGCCAGAATTCAGACTGTGAAGGAGATTGGTGCTCCTCTTTTGCCTTTGGATAGAGTGAAGTTCCAGTGTGGGGAGGGCTCTGGAGGAAGGCCCAGCTGTTGCCCGGACTTGATGTTCAGACAGAGTCTCCCCTCAGCTGGAAAGAAGGGTTCCCCATGAGGCAAGACCCATCCCCAAAACAAGATGCACCCTATGGTGAAGCAGCAGGAGCCCCAGGCCGGGTTCCAGCTGCAGCTCTGCCACTGGCTGCCGTGAGACCCAGACAGGCACCTTCTCTGCGAGCCTCAGTCTCTCCACGTGCACTAGGAACACACGCAGGACTTAGGGGGCCCTCCCCCCCAGTTTGAGGAGGTATTCCAGGGCTCTGATAGCCAGTGTGCAGAGCAGTTAAGCTCAGAGTTCAAACAGCTTGGGGTGTGCATGCTGCCCTGTTCTGTGCCCTCAGATAAGCTGCTTCCCCTCTCTGAACCTCAGTTTCCTCATCTATAAAATGAAAACAATATGACTACTTCGATTTGGAGGTTGTTGTGGGGATTAAATGAAATAATGTGTATCTTCAGGAGGGGAGGAGATGGAGACACTGATGGGTGAACAATGAACTTTGGAGTCAACTGGATCTGCTCTAAAATCCCAGCTCCTGTACTTACCTGCTGTGTGATGCAGGCCAGTGACATAACCTCTCTGAGCTGCAGTTTCCTCATGGTGCCCGCCTTGCAAAGATTAAATGAACTAAAGTGTATAAGGTGCATGGTACAAGGTTGGACGTGGAAAGCTCTTGACTAATGCTGTTGTTATTTGACTGTGGTTCCCTGCCAGCCCCTCACTCACTTGCCTTCTCCCCTAGCTCTACCCTGAATGAAGTCAACACCTCCTCTACTATCTCCTGTGACAGCCCCCTGGAACCACAAGAGGAACCAGAGCCAGAGCCCCAGCCCGAGCCCCAGGTGGAGCCAGAGCTGGAGCCAGAGTGGCCGCCGGATTCAAGCTGCCCCAGGCCTCGGGCCGAGGTGGAGGACAGCTTCCTGTAGGGGGCTGGCCCCCACCCTGCCCTGCCTGAAGCTCCCCCTCTACCTCCCAGCACCCAGCGCCTCCTGGCCTGGCCTGGCCTCCCACCAGCCGGGCTGTTCCCATCAGCTGTCCCCTTCTGGAAAGCTTTTGCTCCTGGCATGTCGCACCCCAACCCCTGCGACTGGCTTAGGAGGCAAGAGAACTGCAGAGGCCATGACCAGCCCTCTGCCTCTGGGGAGGCCATGTGACTCTGAGCCAGGATTCTCCCAGGGGACTTGGTTTCTCCATCTGCGAGATGGGAAAGTTGGACTTGGTGACCCACCATCTGGGATTCTCTCCCTGGCTGAGAGGTGGGGAGAGTGGAACCCTGGGGGAGAGTCTTGAGGTTCAGGAGGTGGCAAGTTAACCTTTTTTCTGTTCAGTCAGCTACCCCTCAAGGAGCTGCAGCTCTCACCTCACACTTTTATCCACCCGAGAGCTGGGGAAGGGCCCCTGGCCTCCCTGCCCTCTGGCTGAGCAGGGTTCTGGCCTTGGACAGTGCTGCCTCATCCAGAAGCAACCTCCCCTCCATGCCAGTCTCCACTTTCCCGGGCCCGAGCTGGTCTGGGGCCATCCATGCTTAATTAATGCGGAGGGCTGAGCCACATACAGGACACCCTGGCCTGTGGCCCCTGCCCCAGGCACTTGGGGCACACCTCACCATAAAAAGTGCCCATGTCCATGTCTTCCTGGCGCCACAAGTCCTGGGGTCATTTTTCCTCACCACTGCCAGTCTTACTCCACCCATCAGAGTCTCCAGGGCCAGACGGGCCCCACGTCTGTGATGAGTGTGTTGATGTGCTTGCAAGAAGTGTCCACATGTGTGGACCATGTGTGGACCAATATGTGCATTGGACCTGCCATGAGACTTTGGGGGACTCCCTCGCCCTCTGTGGGCCTGTTCTCTCGTTGAAAAATGAGCAGATTAGACTCATTGACTTCTGGTGGTCTGCCAGCACTAACATTCTAGAATATTCCAGAGGGTTGCACACTTGCCCAGATGAAGCAAAGCCAAACACCCCAAACCTCCACCTCGGGGGTCAGCTGGGGTCTGGGGAGATTCCAGACCACACATCACACCCCAGGCATTCAGAGACCGTGACCCTTCCCCAGGCCCCTGGCAAGTCCCAAAAGGCCCGCTGCCCAGGCCTTGACTCGGAGTGACAGCCAGTGTCTGGGAAGCCCCCAGCAGCTGCCCCAGGGCTGTGGGAAGATCACAGAACCCCTTTCGGCACCCACAGTGACCTCTGGAGCTATCCTAGGCAAAGGAAGCAGAGAGGGCAAAGCAGAGCACCTCGTGCTGCCCGCCACTCCAGCCCCTGCTGTCTAGGCCTGTGTCACAGACGTAACGGACACTGAGGGCCCCCGGGGTCCCCGGAAAGGACAAGAAGACTTCGATAGGGAACCTGAGAAATGGATGCAAGAGGTGGGTACTTTGGGGGCTGCCTTCTCACCTGCCAGCTGTCTTGTTTGAGGCAGTACCCATGGGTATGGCTTTGTCACACCCAGGCCTGCTCCCCTCACTGTGTCTGCCAGCCACGCCCCAGCCCAGTGGGCACTGGAGGTCCAGAGGAGTCGGGGCCAAGGCCGCCAGCAGGGGGAGAGCTGGAGAGGGGGTGAAGGAAGATCAGCCCTCTGGGCACCAGCCCCCTATACTGGTTGGCACGTGCCTGCCCTGGGGCCCCCGAAGCCTGGTCGAGGAGGGAGAGGGTTCTCACTACGGTACCAAAGATGTAATCACCTAGGTTTACAAGTATCTTTAGGACTCACATTAACTCACATTTATACAACAGAAGTGCTATTTTGTATGCCATCCAATTTTCCTATCTGTGTACTTTTTTTAAGGAAAAGATTTTAATATTAAACCTGGTGCTTCTCACTCACAGACTTCGTGGTCTCTTGCGGGTTTGGGTCCCTGTGCCTGGGAGGTGGCAGGAGGGGAGTGGGGCAGACGGGACTCGGCCCAGCCACAGGGTCCCCACACAGGTCCCTTCAGCTCTGAGTTTCGTTTCCATCTGTAAAATGGAGATTTTCACACTCCCTCCACCCCTTGCTAGTGGATGGGTGACCTGGACCTTGGGCGTCAGTTTTCCAAGTCGTGAAATGAGTTCCGGCTGTTCTGGCTCTGCGGTGCCTGACCCTGGGATGGGTGGGACTGTTCACGGGCTGGTGCTGAGGAGCCCGGGCCCTTCCTGCGGCCCCCACCCCACCCCACCATGTGCTTTGGCTTTGCCTGTTAAGCTGGGACACCACCCCCCGCCCTCCCCTCCATTCTGCCTGTGGGCCCAGGTTGAGGCTGGTGTGGCTGGTGAGAGGCATCTCCTAGAGACCAGACTCCAGGCCCTGGTGAGTGTGGTTGGGTCCTGGGCAGGAGCAGGGCAGACCGAGCACCCAAGGGGGCCAGAGAGCAGGAAGAAGTGAAGAGACGGAGGAAGAGGAGCGGAGGAATGTGGGGGCAGTGTGCGGCCAGGGCAAGGCCAGGGGAGGCAGTGGGGGCCTGGCTGTGGCTCTGAGGGCAGAATCTAGCCAGGCTGGGCAGAGGGGTGCAGACCCAGCAGGCCCCAGGCCCCTCACAGCTACAGCAGCTCTGTGGTGTGGCGCTGGCATGATCTGGGCATGCTGGTGCCTGCTGGCCAGCTCATTCCTAGCCATAGGCTCCACTGCCCAGCCCAGGGAGACCCTGGCAGCGGCATGGGGCCAGGAGCAGTAGAGCTGCCAGGGGCAAGGGGCCAAGTGCAAGGGTCCTGGACCCAGGCTGGGGCTTCCTGGCCCCTCCACCTGGGCCCTGTAGGAGGGTCACCTGAGGTGGAAGCAGGTTTCAGCCTGAGATCTATCTTACTTCACCATGTGACCTTGGCCATCCCTTGCTCTCTCTGATCTGGGGAAGTGGCATCTCAGTTTGCTTCTGGGAGATGGGCACCTTGTTTTGGAGCCACAGGCCACCCTGGACCAATTCCAGGAGTCTGGGGCTGCGGCTGCCAGCAGGGAGAGGAATGGAGACGTGGGGCAGCTCTGACTCACAGGCCAGCCGCCAACTCAGGGGCAGCTGCGCCACACCAGGGGAAACTCCACCCGCTGCAGGGCCTGGCCACACAAAGCCCACCCTCCCGGGGGTCCTGGCTTCAGAGAACAGCCAGAGCCCATGACCCCTTCTCTCCTGGCTATGGTAGAAGATAAGTAAGCCAATACCCAGATCTGCCCTGTGAAGAGAATAAACAACCCACATTCCAGACAGGGATTATCCTTGCTCATGGGAAAAGCCCGCATCTGGGCTCACTCCTTCCCAGGCCTGCCCCTTACAGGAACAGGATGGATTATACCACATCAGGCTGCAGTTTCCCTAGGTGTAAATGGAGCTAATGATGCCACAAAGAGAAAAAGGATGGTAAATGCTGCTGACCACTTATTGAACAGTGACTACGTGCCAGGGCTGTGCTGTTGCTTTACACACATTGTCTCGTTTTACCCTCATGTCAATCCTATGAACCAGGCACTACTGCTGTCCCCAGATTACAAAAGTGAAACCAGTTCAGGGAGGTTTCAAGGTCATCTGGTCAGTACAGAAGGAATAGAATAGGAGCCTGGGCCTGGCTCCCAAGCCGGCACTTGGAGGTAGAGCACTCAGCCGGGGTTGCAGAGCCAGGGAGTGAGGAAGCCTGGGTGCCAGCCCCTGTCTCCTGACTCCAGAATTCTCTGGTGCTGTGCATTGCCAACAGGAAGTACAGGAAAGTGCTGAGTGAGAGGAAAAGGGCTAGATAAAAATAATAACAAAGAGTTTGGTGGAGGGCTTGGACCTCACATGCCCCTGTGCAGAGGGGGTGCGGAGGTGGGGAGGGGAGAACCATAGGTCAGCCTCTGCTGGCTCCTGCCTCCCAAACTTGCCACTCAGGCGGGCCCAGGGGAACGGATGAGCTGGAATTTTCCTCCCAGACGGATGAGCCACTTGGACTACACAATTCTTCCGCCACCCTATTCACAGCTAAGGTCCTTGTTCCGGGAAAAAGAGAGCAAGACTGGAAGGAGCTATTGCTCCTGGGCCCCAACCTTCAGCTGACATGGTGCCCCTTCTTTGATTTAGGGCAATGTCTCTAAAGGCTTCTTTTATTTTAGTTAATTTTTCAGCTTCATAATAATTACAAATTACTTTTATAAAAGTATTTATGTAACATATGCCTGTATTTAAAAAAATCCATTACCAAATATGTATAATATAGGAAGAGAAAATCTTCTCTTTGTGTGTGTTGTATTCTAGATTCTAGTAACATTTTAAATTCTTGTCTATTCAGCAACTTTGTGTGCAGGAATTTATCTTGTGGAAATTCCGACTCTCACTGTTAATACTTTAGTTATATTCTTCTAGAATATAACTTTTTTTCCCTTACAGCTGTACTAATATTTGTATTTTGTCTCTGCACCTATCTACATAAATATATAATTATAATTTTAAATAAAACTACCACTACCATTTTGCAACTTTTTGTTTTTCCTTAACAATGCATCATGGACACACTCACAGGTCCGTGGTCCATACAGATATCAATTCATTCTTTTTGAGAGTGGCACATAATTTAAAAACATGCTTGTGCCATAAATTATTTAACCCATCCCCTACTGACGGACATCAGTGTTTCAGAGTTCTAAATCATGCTGGAATGACCATTGTTTGTAAAGTATATTCATATTTGCACATTTTCGTAAGTGTTTGTTTCCACAGAATAAGTTCCTAGACACAGAGTTGCTGAGTAAAGAGAATAAACATTTACAATGTTACTGAGTCTAAAAGTATCCTTTAAAATATACAAAATTATAGAGCTTCTGAGAGGCTAAGAAAATCAAACATGAAAACAACATTATTTAATTCTAGCCAGGTGCCCTGGCCTCCTGGAAGAAGTCTGGAGCCTCTTCTGTTTGTTGAAACACACCACAAACAAGTGGTAGAAAGGGTAAAAGGCAGAGCAAACCAAGCTGAGACTTTCTCCTGGAGTAACCAGAAGGGCCTAGAAGACTTGCCAAGCAGGAGCTTTCCTGTGATGCCCTTCAGCACTCCTGCAGGCTGGCTCCCAGCCCCACATCCAGGGGGCACCGCACCTGTGGGGAAACCTGGCACCCCCTCACTACCCTGGCTCTGCTCTGGGCCCTCACCGTGTAGAGAGTGTGTTCCTACCGGGGGTCTCATTTGATGCTCACAACAAACCTCCGAGGCAAGCCAAGGGGCTGGCTCCAGACAGAGAAGCTGAGGCTCAGTGTGTTAAGTGCTGGCCCAAGGTTGCACACAGCGGGGCTCTCGCCTGCCAGTCTGCTGTCCTCGCTACCGCCTTCCCAAGGGAGTCTCTTAAGTCCTGTTCTTGGACTCAGAGCGGGCAGCAGGCTGGGCCCTGGGGTCAGGGTGCTGGCTTCCCACTCAGAGTGTGGCTCCTGGAATTCCCTGGGTGGGCTGCTCCTTAGACTGGGGTCCTGGGGCTTCTCTGGGCTGTGACTGATTCTCACAGCTCAGAATAAAATCTGCCATGCCTGCCGCAGTGGCCTGATGAGGGGACCGCTGCCTGGGGCAGGGGGTTGGCTCTCCTCAGGATCCAGCAGGGACTCGGGGACACCACAGAAGCCACACTGTCTCCCTGTGACGCCCCTCCCACTGGCTTAGCCCCCTGCCCTGCTCTCCAGGCCCCATTGGGCATGCATGCCTGTCATCTCCAATGGCTTCATACGTCCCCCTTAGGGCTCCTCTTGTCCTAACAGGCTTGGGGCAGTTCCACGGTCTCTTTCTGGTTTGGGGTTTCATGGGTAATCACTGCGAGGAACTAGAAAAGTCACAAACACAAGGAAGTAACAAAGCTTCTGGAAAATCGCAGAATTCTCAGGGTGCTCGTTCCCCTTCTGAAGGAGCAAGATGGAAACTTCCACCCCTGAAAGTTTCTCTTCTTCATTATTGATTTTCCTGAAGCATACCATGATCTTGACTCTCCTTTACTCAAACACCTTCAATGGCTCTCCATGGCCCAATGAAGTCCAGACATTCTAGTGTGGTCTTCAAGGCCTGGAGCTGGTTCCAGCCTCTTCTTCTGCCTGTCCCACATCCGCCCCTCAAGGCCTGTCTACTCCTGTGTGGGCCACAAACTTTCTGACCTTCCAACAGAGCACAAGGATTCCCTTTTCTCCACATCCTTGCCAATCCTTGTATTCTCTGGTCTTTTTGACGATGACCATTCTAACAGGTGTGAGGTGGTATCTCATTGTGGTTTTGATTTGCATTTTCCCTGATGATTAGTGATGTTGAGCACCTTTTATGTAGCTGTTGGCTGTTTGTACGTCTTCTTTAGAAAAATATCTATTCAATTCCTCTGCCCATTTTTTAATTGAATTGTTTGGTTTTTTGCTATTGAGTTGTATGAGTCCCTTATATATTTTGGATGTTAACCCCTTAGCAGGTATAAGATTTGCAAATATTTTCTCCCATTCTGTAGGTTGCCTTTTCATTTTGTTGACTGTTCCTTTTGTGTGTGTGTGTGTGTGAGAGAGAGACCAGCCCTGAGTTAATATCCAATGCTGATCCTCCTCTTTTTGCTGAGGAAGATTGGTCCTTAGCTAAGCTCTGTGGCCATCTTCCTCTACTTTATATGGGACGCCGCCACAGCATGGGTTGACAAGCCGTGCGTCGCGCACCTGGGATCCGAACCTGCGAAATCTGGGCCGCCGCAGCAGAGTGCATGCACTTAACCGCTTGCCACCGGGCCAGCACCATGTTGACTGTTTCTTTTGCTGTGCAGAAGCCCAGCCTCTGTCCTTTTGTTGGTGCTGTCCTCACCGCCTAGAATGCCCAGCCCTCTATGGCTGAAGGGCAAAGTCTGGTGCTAACTTCTAGCCCAGCACAAAGCCACCTCCTCCA